ATCCCTCTCGTGCACACTGTGGTTCCCAGCGCTGGTTGAATAATCCCTCTCGTGCACACTGTGGTTCCCAGCGCTGGTTGAATAATCGCTCTCGTGCACACTCAGGCGGTGCTCCTCCAGGTGTGAAAGCCGGGGCTGTTGTTCAGGGCTCGTGGTCAGGAGGCCCCTGGGTGGCGTCTGACCTCTGCCATCGCCCCGAGCGAGCGAGTGAGCGAGCTGTCCGCCTGCAGTACGTGACGGGGTATCATTCACCCGCAGGGGGCGAACAGCCACGGGCAGCTGGGGCAGGGCCACCGGCAGGACCGGGTGGAGCCGGGGCAGGTGGAGGAGGGCGACCCCGCGGGCCGGGCCCTGCGGCGGCTGGCTGGGGGAGGTGGGCACTCCGTCCTGCTCACGGGTAAGTGCGGGGAAGCCCGCCGGGCGGGTGGGGGCGACCTCTCTCTCCAGCCGGGGATGTGTTCGGTGTTGTCTTTGCCTCCTGCCGTTCCGGCCCTCTGAATCGCCCTGGTACGGGGGCAAATAATGGAGGAACCGTGATCGCGCAACAGGGGAGCCTCTTGGGCTTGTGGGTAAACCGGCGTTTACTCTCCCTGTCTGCAGGCGCGGGACAGCTGCTGGTGTGCGGACAGAACCACAGAGGACAGCTGGGCCTGGGCCACACCAGAGAGGTCACGACCTTTCACCTCTGCCCCGGCCCCGGCGGGCAGGCGGTGGAGCAGGTGGCCTGCGGCTGGGATTTCACTCTCCTCCTCACAGGTGAGCCGCGTGCACAGAGTCGGGAGGAAGTCGGCCGCCAGCGCTTTCTCTGTCCGCAGCGTGTCCTGCCTCGTCTGGGCGCGACCCCTAAAAATCAGATCCCATCAGAGCGCTGTAAAAACTAAGGGCTTCTCTTGCGCCCTCCTTTTGTCTTTCAGTCAGCTATTCGCGTAGCTATCAGTGGTCCAGCAGAGCCACAGGTCTGCAGGAGCTGTGGATCTGAATCCATGAAGATCTGGGTCCAGTGTGATGTGGGGACTGGTTAAGCCTTTAAGGCAGGTCCTTCAGGCCCTGGAGTCAGGCCGGTTTAGAACTGCAGGAGCACACAAACAGGGATTCGGTCCAGGGAAGCCCAAGGATGTGACTTCTGGTCACTGGAGCGGGACGGGATCATCCCGTCTACAGCGTCCCACCTCACCTCCAGCTGCTCAGTTCGAGTGGGAGAGGACGCACCAGCCGGCACAGCCCCAGGCTGACTGGACAGATTTTGAACTGGAGTAAAGGCCTTTCAGAGTTAGGCTTTTACTTTTTGGGTGGGATTAAAGTAGACAACAGTTATCGCTTCAGGTGGTCTCTCTCTCTCTCTCCCCTCTCCCTCCCCATCTCTCTCTCCCTCCCCATCTCTCTCTCTCTCTCCCCTCTCCCTCCCCATCTCTCTCTCTCTCCCCTCTCCCTCCCCATCTCTCTCTCTCTCCCCTCCCCATCTCTCTCTCTCTCCCCTCCCCATCTCTCTCTCTCTCTCTCTCTCTCTGTCCAGACAGGGGGACCCTCTATTCTTGCGGCTCCAATGCTTTTGGACAGCTTGGTGTTGGGCGGCCCCTAGCAGACAGCGCAGAGCCTCTGCAGATCCAGGTGGGACAGCATGTTTGGACCCGTGTCTTTCCGAGGGTCTTGTCTTGATTTCAGTTTTGTCAGTGGTCAAGCAGTAGACATGGGGGTCGACTGCTGTTAAACAGTCTGTGTCTCTCTGTTCCCCAGTCAATTTTTAATTCAATTCAAGAAGGTTCATTAGCATGACCTATGAATAAATCCAAAATCCAATGCCAAAGCCTATACAATTAACACAACATCTACAGACATTTACAATACAGACACATCATAATACATGTACATACAAACATATGGAGCATTATTGAGAGACAGGCTCACTGTTCCCCAGGCTGGGACAGGAGATCACACACTGTATTATTATTATTGAGAGACAGGCTCACTGTTCCTCAGGCTGGGACAGGAGATCACACACTGTATTATTATTATTATTATTATTATGATTATTATTATTATTATTATTATTGAGAGACAGGCTCACTGTCTGTTCCTCAGGCTGGGACAGGAGATCACACACTGTATTATTATTATTGAGAGACAGGCTCACTGTTCCTCAGGCTGGGACAGGAGATCACACACTGTATAATTATTATTATTGAGAGATAGACTCAATGCCTTTTCCTCAGGCTGGGACAGGAGATCACATACTGGGATTCCAGTTCAACAGAGTTCCCTCCTCCTTCTTCCAGTAGGATCGGGAGCTGTGCTGATTCTAGCAGGTGTAGGAGTTTTGGGATTAGATTTGTAAATTTGGGGAAGAATGTTTGTCTAATCCCAGAGTATTTGTCACAGTGCTGTAGGAAGTCTCTGTTTCTCTCTCTGTCTCCTGTTCCTCAGTCTCTCTCTCTGTGTCTCCTGTTCCCCAGTCAATTCAATTCAAGCTGCTTGAAAAGAAAAGACAAATTCCTAATGCAATCTACAAAATCTACAGACATATTACAGACATTTACAACAAAGACATATCATAAAATATTGACATATACTGTGAACATATTGATCATTATTGGGAGACAGGCTCACTGTTCCTCAGGCTGTGACAGGAGATCACATACTGGGCTGTCAGTTCAACTGAGTTCCCTCCTCCCTCTCCCAGTAGGATTGGGACCCGTTGTGATTCTGGCAGGTGTGGGAACTCTGGGACTAGATTTCTGAGTTTAGGGAAGAATGTTTCTCTAATCCCAGAGTATCTGTCACAGTGCAGTAGGAAGTGCACCTCTGTCTCAGTTTCTCCCCGCTGGCAGTGGGAGCACAGCCTGTCCTCTCTGGGCAGCCAGGTCTGCCTGTGCCACCCAGTTTCTCTGGCCAGGCTGTGGTCACTGAGCCTGTACTTCGTCAGGGTCTGTTTCTTTTTGCTGTTTCTTATCTCGGTCAAATATTCAACTAGTGTGTAATGTCTGTTTAGTGTTCTGTAGCATTCCAGTTTATGTTGTGTTTGTGTGTGTGTGTCCCAGTGTGTGAGATATTGCTGTTTGATCTGTGCTGTGATGTAGTTGAGTCTGGGTTGTGGTGCTCTAGCAGTGCTGTCCTGATGCTGGTTAGTGTCGGTGTGGCTCAGGTCAGTGAGCCTCAGGACCAGCTGGCTCAGGGGGCTCTGTTTAGGGCTCAGCTCTTGGCTCAGCAGGGCTTTGTGGTGGTAGGAATTTTGGTCGCTGTTTTAAAAATGTAGCCAATACTTTAATACTCTTTTCTGTATGTTTATCAATAGTGGGTACTGGCCTAATTCGGCCCTGCACCCGTTGTTAGGTGTTTTTCTCTGCACACGGAGGATGTTTCTACAGATCTGTGGGGTGTTTGTCCCATTGGGTGTAATCCTGGTCTGTGAGGGGACCCCACACTTCACTGCCGTATAGGGCAATGGGTTGGATTACACTTTCAAATATTTGGAGCCAGATTCTTGTTGGTGGGTTGATGTTGAAGAGCCTCCTTATTGTGTAGAAAGCCCTGAGTGCCTTCTCTCTCAGTGCCTTCACTGCCAGGTCAAAACTCCCAGAAGAGCTGATGGTGAGACCGAGGTATGTGTAGCTGGATGTGTGCTCCAATGTGTTGTTGTTCAGTGTGAATTTGT